GCGGCGCTGCGGGCCCCCGGGCGCGGGCGTGTGGGCACTTGGCGCCCCTGAGCCCGGAGCGTTTCGCTGAGCCCAAGAGGTGGCGGGGTCGCGACCCAGCCCGCCCTGCCCTCGCCTGGATTTCAGCTTCCTGCACAAGTGTGTGCCATTGTGTGGCGGTCGTGGGGACGGAGAGGAGAACCGAGGGCCTGTTTATTCCTGGATGGGTTCAAACTTGAAAAACATAGTCCTACTCTGGTCCTGGGGCGCTCGCTAGGGAGCCCCATCCCACCCCGGAGCCCCAGGCAGTCTTCACTATCTGGGGAAATCAAAGCAAAAGAAGAACGGAGGCCCTTCGGCTCCTGCATAGCATGCCCCTCCATCCGCTGTGCTCAAAGCCGGCCTTCGCATGTGTCCTTAGTTTTTTAGTCTTCTGTCACGCTAATATGTTATGTCAATCCAGGGCAGGGGTGTTCCATGCAGGCGATTTTGACAGCGATCATTATACTAAGCTATTATGAAGTGTGATGTGAGCGCATGCTGGAAGGACAGATAATACATAAAGCAGGTCTTGACACACTATCTTCCGTGGAAACATCTGAGGCCATCAGCAAGAAGCGTTTTAATTCACACACTAAAAATATTTTGTGTTTGGTTGACATCTTTCAAAATGCTGAAGGAGGTAGTAACATTTATCATTTTGTAGGTCTTTATCAGTGTACTCGCAAAACCCCCATAGGAAGGAGGAGGATTTTCTCTTATTCCTATTCTAACATATAAACTGAGGAACGGAATTGTTACTTGCCTACTAAATAGTGTATGGTAAGTGAGAGAGTTTTGTTTATAAGGCCAAACATTTTATAAAAGTGGGATAATTGGAAAAGTCAAATCCAAAGTCAGTTCCAAACCTAAGGAAATGCTTTGTCCTTGACATTATATAGTAGTCAGAAGCTGTACTTACACGACGAAATACTGTATAGTTTTACAATGAACTCTCTATATATTGACTCAAGATGTTTTTCTTTTTCTCTATTTACCTATTTAATAAGTATTTATTCACAGGTTATTATACATATTTCACTCCACTTTGCCACTGATACCTTTAGGCATTTCACAAAGAATTGTGAACCTGTGACTAAAATATACGTATTTTCTCCTGGCTACAGAAAGCTCAAGGAACATTATTAGGAAAGAGTTAATAACTGTAACCATTTATTTTACAAGTGAAAAATTGTATTTAGTGCCTTCAAGTGGTAAGCCAAGGAAATAAATTAGGAATCAAAGTTTTCCCGGACTTGTGCCTTATTGATAGTGCCATTTTTTTCTCCTGAAAACTTTTTAAAACAAAGTTTAAAGGACTTACATGATTGATGGAGCTATGCTGTGCTTCAGTTATTTTGAAAGTGCCTTAAAGCCTGGAGTCAAAACACTTTGTGTGAAATCTGTAAGACGTACCTAATGAATATAAGATTTTGCAAGTACAGTAATGAAAGCCAAGTTGTTAGCAATAATTTTATCACTAACCCTAATATTGTGTGCTGTGGGACTTGAAACTGTATAACCAAAATATGACTATAAAGTAATGTCTGTGTTTTAATAACTATGCTAGAACTTAGACATATATTTTGAGGTGTTCTCATCCAACTAGTAGTTTTGGAAGGCTGTCACTTTAATGCTATTACTCAAGCCTCTTTCAGAACTCTTCCTTAAGCACTACTTTCAATACCCTCAGCACATCTGGTTTAAAGACTTAGAAGTGGCAAGTCATCTTCCTATCCAGTCTGTCATTACCCTGAAGAAGGAGGTGGGTGATCAAGTCAGGGTAATATAATTTGAGATCAGAACAAGCTAAAAGAGAATTACATGGCTTTTTAAAAACTAGTTCTAAAGTCATTATACTAGCATAGTTTGGACAGTGGAAGCTCCATTTAAGAAAAGTGCTTGTTCAGAATTTAAAAATCTCTTTGTCAGTGAATTGCTAATTTAACAGTCATGTGCATATGTCGTACCTCGGTGTGTACTATACAGATATGTCACTTCAGAAAGTTGTATTATTAAGAATTTGGTTTGTAGATTCTGGATTTTATGGGAGTTTACAGTTCTGGTATGATTTTAAAAGCTATTTTTTTTTTCCACTGGAAATCGAACTCACGACCTCGCGTTTGCTGGGCAGGCACTTGCCGCTGAGCTAAATCCCCAGCCCAAAGCTCTTAAGTTTTAAAATACGGAAATTGGTGGGAAAATTCAAGCTGTCATGGCTAAAATTAGGATTGCCTTATGTAACTCCACTAAATCAGTGCTTACATTCCTTGAAATAGAAAATTATACTCAGCTAAGAAGTCGAACTTAACTTGTATTCTATATTGTGAGCAAGGTATTCCACCATTAAAAAGAACTCAGCCCCCCAGCCTGGTGGTGCAAGACTGTAATCTCAGCATTTGGGAGGCTGAGGCAGGAGGATCACTGGAAGTTCAAGGTCAGCCTAAACTACATAGCAAGACCCTGTTTCAAAAGAGAAATCAAAAACAAAGAGCTCAGCCATCCTTGGACTACAAGGAAGGTCTAATCTGTGAGCAAAAACGTTTAAATGTACTTTTCAATAGTTGAATGTGAATGAAGACCTCAAAGTACATATGAAGTAGAATTCCTTTGTACTGTTGTAAGTTAGTAATATGCCACCTACTGTACAAAATACAGAATCATGAAGCTCTTAACTTAGAAATTTAAACTCTTAGGATAGGCAGCACCAAAATATAGGAGGGTGTTAAAAAGATACCAAAGGAAAGAGAATTAAGGAGGAGTGAGGTAAGTCATTGGCTTAGTTGAATTCATTAGAGGAAAGGTTTTAAAATCACTTTCCAAAACCACCAGAAAAAAATCTAAAACTTAAGGAAATAATTCAAATTCAACTCCAACTGAAACTATATGGAGAACTAAGAAAAGCAGAGAAGATATGATGAGCTGAGTAGGAATTTTCCTAAAGGTTCAGGTCCATATCTTTAGTATTAGACAGAGCACATGGGATCATTAGTGATTGGCAGGAATCCAGATCATGATGATCAGTAGTGATCAAGGCCAGAGGATAATGAAGGAAAAGCTTTAACACTTAAATGAGATATTATAAATGCTGATGCTGTTCAAGGGATAGTCAGCAGATAAAGAAACAGCCCAGTGGTCTAAAAACAAGTAATTCCCTTCTTTCACCCCAAAGTTAGATCATATGTGGAGAATAGCCAAGTTTGAGTTACGACAAAAAGAGTATACTTATTTTAGCCACCTATAAGTCCTGGAACTTTTAGTTCTGTCTGCTTTGATGAACATGGTTATTGCCCAGAAATTAGGTGAAGGGCCCTGCTGGGACCTGCAGGCTAGGGTTGTATACCTAAGAAAAAGGTCAGTGCACAAGATAGCAGACTCAATTCTCTATGTTTTCTGAGGAAAAACTCTGTACTCTGTCCATTAGGTAGACAAAACAGCTTCTGTTAGTAATAAAAGGAAGGCCAGATACCCTCCATAAATAATGACAATTGTGGGGAAACAGTTGACAGAGATTTTAGCCTTCCTTTTGAGGTAGCCTGACAATTACACCTGTCCATCTTCTGTAGACTTAAGTCATCCAAATATTTTAAAATTTGATCTTAAATACTAAATATTGTATGTAATGCTTATAGCTTCAAAAATGTGGCAAAGGAGCCGATAGTGTGGCTCAGGTAGTTGTGAAAGAAATCTGGTGGTCATATTATGTAACTCAGGTGGTTATATCTTGAATCCTATCTCTTTCAGATAGAGAAGTTTCTGGCTTTAGATTTACAAGACTTGCATGTAACTCCAGAATATAGAGCAAGTAGACTGTTGCCCTAAAAATTGTAAAGTGTTGTGGTAGAAGGCGTCCTGAACCAAGAGTTTGGACTAGGTTTGGCATGTACCAGTTATGTAACTTGAGGCACATTTTAGTTTTCCTCATAGATGGTGCCTGTTAGATGTACTATATAGAGTAGTTTGAGCTTAGTCTGAGGTGAGGTGAACAGAGGACTTGGTTTGTTGAGTGCTGTGCATGTGCAGGGTTTTGTGTACTGCAATGCAGGTTTTGTATGTTAAAGGTTGTAGCCATTGAATTGTCTAGATATTTAAACCAAGATATAAATGACTATGGAAATACACCTGGGAAACTGGGAAAATAGGTTTAGTATGGATACAGAGACATAGGAGTAGTACATTATAGTCATTATTCCTCCTTTCTGGTTCATAAGAAGCACTTTATTGCCATATCAAGAGGATTTTTTTCCCCCTAAAGACTTGCTGCATGTAAAGAAACCTGGTAGCTTCTTCAGTACTATTAAACCCAGATCTGCATCCCTGGAACTGAAGGGATAATCTCCTTTGGAGAAAACTGGCCGCACTTCTTAATTCTTGACTCTCATACTCTCAATCTTCTTTTCTTAGCAATTTCATTAAAGCATATTGCCACATTCATGACTTAGAGGAGAACAAGAAGCTGACTTGAATTCCACATATTGGCTTAGTTGGTCAGCTATGAACATTTAAACAAAACCTTTTACAATTGTTATTCTTCTTACAGCGACAATCCATTTCTGTTGCAGAGACAGCAAGCCCCTCTCCCAATCCTTGAAGGCCATTTAAAAAATTAATATTTGTATCTTTCATTTTATCCTACTTTTTCCTGTGTACTGTATTTAAAAGATGCCAAAGATTCTGCGGGAAGGG